ATGTGTGTGAGCGGAAGGGCAATCTTTCTGATGTCTTGCCCTTCCGAAGTTTCTCCCTTTCATGTTGTTTGTCCACGTGTCCTCTTGATTACTAATATTCCGCTGCGCTGCTTCCCAGCCCATGATGATGATGATGATACAAATGTGTTGTTGTTGATTTCTCGTTGGGTTACTCGTTGCATTGTGCACATTGGCATCTTGTGAATGTTGCATCTATGCTGCTGGTTGTTGCCACTTTCGTCATTGCTAGATCTTAGGCTCTCAGTGTATTTCACTTTCTGATATGCTACAGTCAATGAGAGATTGCTCTTGCGACCACCAACATGAGTATCCAGGCCCTATCTCCCTACTTGGCGCCTGGCGCCCAGCCTACTCCCTACACAGCTGCTACTAGCCTACTAATTGACAATGCAACTGTTGACATCAGCAGCCAACGAAGTACTTGACGATGTCGCCGTAGCAGACCACCCCCAATACCAGGTATGTGCTCTCACATCATCATCATCATCATCCTTCTCTCTCTCCGTTGTCTGACACCCACGTCTTCCCTCTTCAAACCCGAAGACCACCCGTGCGCCTCACTGTACATCCAAGCCCTCAGCCAGCTATGGAGGCTGGGCTATGGCGCTGCCCTCAGCAGCGCCCTACTGCACGCGCGCAGCACCTTGCTCCAGCGCTAGCAGCCAGCACGCGAGCATGAGCTCCAGCAGTGCTGCCGCTAGCCAGCAAGTGCCCGAATGAGCTGCCAGGCAGCGAGCTCCTTCCTATATGGAAAAGAGCTGGTCTGCCTTCGCACCCTGGCTGGCCTGGGCCTGGGCCCAGAAGCTTCCGGTAGGCCCCAGGATGCTGCGCCTCTGGTGCAGCTGCCGGGCCTCATTCGGTTGGGCCTCACAACTGTCTGTGTATGAGGCTGCGAATCTCGACCAGGGCCTGTGCTTTCGGAAGAGCCTGGAAGGCCGTGGAATTTCCTTGCTGTTCGGCCTGTGTTTCCTCAACCAACTGGCACGACAAAACTGCCTGGACCCCGAATATGAATTTGACAGCTTAGGGCCTCTCGGGATTCGTTAGGCCCACCTTCACTTAGGGGCAGCGTTGTCACGCGGGGATCCCCGGGGCCCAAGCCGGGGTAGGGGTTTCAACCCCGGACCCCCGCCGCGGGGCTACCCGACCCCCGCCCCCGCAAAAACAACCCCGGCCCTGCCCCAACCCCGCCACCCCCGCTCCCAG